TCAAACATTGCAGGATTTACAGACATATGCTACCTCCGAAGATATTAAGCAGTGGAATGCAGCTGGTGTGACCAAAGATCCACAAACTGGACTTTGTGTCACAGAGGGGAGACCATGCATTCCAAAGGCCAGTGCACCTCTGTTCATCTCACAGTATCATGGAGTAGGTCACAGGGGTGGCAGGTTACATGTGAAACTGCTGGACAATGATTTTTTCATTCCTGGCCTCCCCTCTTTGGTAAAGTCATATGTGTCTAGAATGCATTACATGCATAAGGAATAACCCAAACAATCCTCACAAGGCAAGACATGAACACCTGACATACCCATCAACACCTTTTACCCACCTACAAGTAGACTTTACACACATGCCAAAGGTTAGGGAAAAGACAGGAATATCTTTTGGTAATTGTGGACATGTTTAGCCGCTGGGTAGAGATTTTTGCAACCACAAAAGAAGATGCCCAAACGGTAGTGAAGATCCTTACACAGGAAATTATTCCTAGATGGGGATGTCCATTCCAGATTAATTCTGACAACGGCCCAGCATTTGTGGCCAAGGTATGTCAGGATTTGGTGAAAACACTCAAAATTGAGTGGAAATTTCACATTCCTTACCACCCCCAGAGCTCAGGTATAGTGGAAAGGATGAATAGGACCATCAAGGATAAAATTAGGAAAGCTACTGGAGGTACCTATGCAAATTGGAAGAAAGTACTGCCTGCAGTCTTGGCAGAGGTAAGAATGACTCCTTCTAAAAAGACAGGTTACTCCCCCTTTGAGGTTCTAATGGGTAGGCCCTTTCCCACTCCCTGGGCCAGACAGCCACTCATGGTAGAAAGAGGGGACTTAGAATTGATTCAGGAGGAATATGTGAGAAAACTAATTGAAACTTTGGACAAAGTTGAAAGAAATGTCGCTCGCACCTTCCTCTTTCTTCACAGGAACCAACTCACTCTTTCCAAGTCGGGGACCGTGTGGTGATACAAGCCCTCCATAGGAATCGGAAGCAAGAGTATCCCTTTGGACCCCCCACTTCTGTGATCGCTGTCACCCAGGACCGCTGTCCTGACTGAGGATTCCAAGGCCTGGATCCATGCCAGTCGTGTAAAAAGGGTGAACCAAGCCCCTAAGAAGCAAGACAAAGGCAAAGACACAGATACAGAAGAAGAAAAAGGAAGTGAAGCCGGTGTAAAAGTCTTTGAAGAAGATGACCTTCGTATGCTCTCACAGTACTCTGGGCAGACATTTTGCTTCCTTGTACTAGCAACCGATAGTGTTTCTCCCAGTATGGACAATAACTAACTGTATTTATCACCCTGATGATTTTGGAGGGATTAAGAGTATATGTAATACCTCCATCCAAGCTAGTGACCCAGATAATGCAGAATCAGTGCACACACAAAACCATAGTACACAACATTCTAGTGTCAGAAAGAAACGAGGTCTAACGCGCACTAAGAGAAGGTTGAGAAGAGTGTCCTTTGTACCAGATAAGGGATGGGGGGTACAGGAAACACCAGTCTTGACTACTGAGGATTCAAACCAGACCATAGTGTTTACTCTGACTAAGAACCAGGTGTTTGACCCGACTAAAGTTACTTATGATCTTGGACCTCATAATGTATATATGTGTGGGAAGGATAAGTCATGTGGTGACTGGGAGAATGTATGGTGGACAACAGACCCCATAAATGGGAGACCAAATCAGCTAGAATTTCCCCAGGTGACGTAGGCACCTATCAAAGAATCTCTATAGCAAAAGGCCAAGGGAATATTATTTTCACAATAAGAAACCCAGAGGTCAGAGATAGTGGGGAATATAGGTTGGGAATAACTGTGTCAGGAACAGATCCCTGGGCCAAAGTCATATTACAGGTAAAGCCCTCTCCTAGAATCCCTGTCAGTACCATAGACAATTCATTCCCCAAAGTTAGGGATCGACTGGATAACGAGGTGACAGGAGTAGTGATGCAATCAGAAGACAGATTAAGCATTGAAACTGGTTACTCTGACAAAAAATGAATGGATAGAATGGGTGAGATGGACAACTAAGAACAAGGGCCAGGGAGACTGTATTTCATGTGCCAACCCCCGCCCCTTACTTGCCACAGTTCCTTTTTTAGAAGAAGAAACTAATATGTCCTGCCTAATTAGAATGTATAAAGATAACATCACTGAGAAGGAATGTTCTGATTTTGTTAAGAAGTTCCCTGTAACCGGACTAAGAAACTTACCTTTAGCCTCTAAACCGGTACCAGGAAATTTTACCTGCTTTGAACATGATGATGCTAAGGGTAAAGATTTAGGTACATTCCCACCTAATTACTGTATTAAGACCATCCGCACCTCTGCAGAAGGCTACCGGAAGGAATGGTTTCAGGACCACCGGCAGCAACTGTCAGATGTGTGGTGGCTGTGTGGAGATATGAGACTCAGAGCCAGACTCCCCAACAGATGGAAGGGAAGCTGCGCTCTGACCCATCTTCTCATGCCTTTCTTTATGGTCAAAGTGGAAGATGGGATAAGAAGCTTGCCCATCTTGGAAAAATCCGGATCAAGAAGGCATAAGAGAAGTACACCCCATGGTTCCTTTGATAATAGAGTTTATATAGATTCTATAGGCGTACCAAGAGGAGTCCCTGACGAATTTAAAGCTCAGGATCAGATTGCTGCAGGGTTTGCTTCTATCGCTTTATGGGTACAGCCTAACAAAAATGTGGATTGGATTAATTACATTTACTATAATCAACAAAGGTTTGTTAACTATACTAGGGATGCTCTGAAAGGTGTTTCTGCCCAACTTGATGCAACATCCCTTACTGCTTGGCAAAACCGTATTGCTCTTGATATGTTATTAGCTGAGAAAGGAGGAGTATGTAAAATGTTTGGTTCCTACTGTTGTACTTTTATCCCCAATAACACCGCTCCTGATGGAAGCATTACTAGAGCCCTTCAAGGCCTCCAAATGTTATCTGAAGAATTGGCTGAAAACTCAGGAGTAGAAAATCCACTAGCCAGCCTATTTGAAACCTGGTTTGGTAAATGGGGAACCCTGATGAAAACGATGTTAGTTTCTATAGTAATGGCTGCTGCAGTATTAATTCTGTGTGGATGCTGTTGTATTCCCTGCATCCGAGGTTTATTGCAAAAACTTATTGACGCCACCATTACTAAAACCATGTGGAATCAGTGTCTTGATAAAAGACGTACTAAGGGCCTCAGGTACAAACCTGTAATTAAGGTGTAAGGTCACGTGTGTGACCTAAGAGGGGGTTTGAAGGAATCAGCCTTTCAGCATTACTATACCGCCATTTTGTCCCTTAGCCTAAAAGTAGCCATCTTGTGCTAAGAATTAGTAAAGGCCATCTTGTTTAAATGATAGCTTAAGTTAAGAATTATTTCATATTTGTTAAAACATTGTATATTCTCTGTCTTTAACTTAAAAACTAACTTCCTCTTTCTTTTGTATGTTATCTTTTTTCAAGAAACTCTAAGGTTCCTCTTTTGTCTCATATTCTCAAGAAACCTAAAGAACTTCCTTTTTCTCTTAAACTCCAAGTTCTCTTTTTTCTTCTTATCAGATTAAACTGTAAAGTTAGTGGTTAGGCAGCATCCTGAGTATATGTTAAAAATAAATATTTCTTTTTCTTAAGAACTTGGAATTTACATAAGTGTTTAAGAGTTCAAATATGACGTATATCAAAAATGATTGGCCATGACTGACGCATGTAAAACTTGATTGGTTTATGCATATCTGATATTTGATTGGCTTCTATATTTTATGCATTGTTTGAAGTTTCTTATATAAGCTGAAACACGGAAGAATAAATTCAGTTCATTCTGAGATACCACCTTGTGTCTGCGTTTCCTGTGTGTCTCAGAGTGGGCTCCAGGCCTGAGGACAATCACTGGTCAAGCCTGGGACTGATGGGGGGCCAGTGTCTTGAGAGGGATGAGAGTCTAATTCCTTTCAGACGGGGGTGCTTTAAAGGGGGTTTTTTAATTATTTTTTACACTGTCACTTTAAAAACCATTTTGTGTACTGTACTTGTCCCCTATATAGTGTGTACTTGTTTCAAATTAAGAGCACTAAAAGTGTAATTTCTGTCTGCTGCTTTATTCCTCTGCTATCATCATGAATCACTTCTGAAAAATCTTCCTGACACCAAAAGAAAAATGGTGACAGGGAGGGACCTCCAGCTGACTGACAGCCTCGGCTCTGTTTCTGTGTGCCATGTGGAAGGGGGTGTGTAGACATGCATTTTTTTTGAATGTTTTGTTGCTATTCTGTCTCTCAGTGTTACAATACACCTACCATTGACTCCTGCTGCCTTCCTCCTGGGTAAATGCATCTTTCTCCTACCTCCACTCTTAACTCAAAAACGCATTGACTCCTGTTAAATTCTGAACAAATGGTGTATTTATATTTGTGTATATGTTGACCAGTCCTCACCTTTAGCTGCACCTGTTTTTTATGACTGTAGTCTGTTTGCTGAGAAACATCCCCCACTATTCATGTGATCCTCATCAGCTTCTAATTGGGGTGGAGTTGAATGCTCATTTGAGCATCTCCCTATAAATTTAGATCAGCTCATGGGGGGAGATCACTGATGGAGGGCAAGTCTCTGATGGGGGTGCTGCTTCTGATTGAGTGCGGCTTTGAACGAGTGCGAAGCAGTTAAACGCAGCAGTTGAACTCAAGCAGGAGAACTTAAGCAACAGGAAGACACAACAACAACAGCAAGAAACTCTACTGCACGCTGGACAGACTGCAAGCAAACACCCTGGGAAACATCTCTTACATACCTGAGTCCCACTCCGTGTACCTTTTTATACAATACATCCCCTCTTCTCCTTTCCATATTACTATCCTCTTGTCAGGGCTCCCAGGTGTGACCAGAGGTGTGTGACTGACGCAGGGAAACGCAGACTTCAGATATGTGATAAACAATGTAATTTATTAACACTAACAATACAAACATAAACGCAGTGCAATACTAAAACATAATACAGTGCAAACAAACCAAACCAACCACCCACAGATAACAGTACATACAAGCAAGCGTCGTCAGGCAGGCCGGGTCAATATCAATAGGGCAGGTAGGTACAGGGGGAGCAAGCGGAGATGGGTCGGGGTCACAGGCCAGGTTCAGCAGGTAGCTAGCAGCGTAGTACAGAGGGTCAGGCAGAGGGATGGTCAGGGTCACAAGCCAGGGATCAGAACAGGTAGCAAGCAGCGTGGTACAGAGGGTCAGGCAGAGGGATGGTCAGGAGCGAGCCGGGATCAGAGCAGGAGAAGTCAGCAGCGGTTCAGATCAGGCAGGGTCAGCAAAGGAACAGAAACAGGATGCAGGACAGATACAGGGCCCAGGACAAACACAACACCAAGGCAGAGTCTGTGGGTCTGGCCATTCCTTAAATACACCAGTATCATCAGTTCCAGGTGTTAGCTGGCTGAAAGGTTGAGTCTCTGATTGCTGGGAGCACCCGCTGGCCAGCCCTGGTACTGCAGATCAAAAGGCAGGTGAGTCCCACCATTGCTGGCCAGTCCATTCCTGACAGTACCCCCCCCTCAAGGAGCGGCCTCAGGATGCTCAAAACAGTCCTAGCTGGGCAAAATGTTCCACCGCCGGGTCTGGTAACTGGCGGGATATCAAAGACTGGCACACCGGGCAGGACTCCGGGCAGCGGGCACACCGGGCTGGACTCCGGGCAGAGGCACATCGGGCTGGACTCCGGGCAGAGGCACATCGGGCTGGACTCCGGGCAGAGGCACATCGGGCAGAGGCACACCGGGCAGAGGCACACCGGGCAGAGGCACATCGGGCTAAACTCCGGGCAGAGGCACATCGGGCTGGACTCCGGGCAGAGGCACATCAGGCAGGACTCCGGGCAGAGGCACATCGGGCAGGACTCCGGGCAGAGGCACATCGGATTACCAGGCGAAGCAGCAGGCAGCGGGCCACCAGGCGGAGCAGCGGGCACTCCGGGGCCCCGGGCACATCGGGCACCGGGCCCCCGGGCGGCGCGCAGGCAGGCACCGGGCCCCCGGGCGGGGCGACAGGCAGCGGGCCCCCGAGCGGGGCGACAGGCACCGGGCCCCCGGGCGGGGCGACAGGCACTGGGCCCCCGGGCGGGGCGACAGGCATCGGGTCCCCGGGCGGGGAGACCGGCATCGGGCCCCCAGGCGGGGCGACAGGCATCGGGCCCCCAGGCGGAGCGGTGGGCGCCGGGCCCCCAGGCGGAGCGGCGGGCGCCGGGCCCCCAGGCGGGGCGACAGGCATCGGGCCCCCAGGCGGGGCGACAGGCATCGGGCCCCCAGGCGGGGCGACCGGCATCGGGTCCCCAGGCGGGGCGACCGGCATCGGGCCCCCAGGCGGGGCGACGGGCATCGGGCCCCCAGGCGGGGCGACAGGCATCGGGCCCCCAGGCGGGGCGGCGGGCGCCGGACCCCCAGATGGAGCGACAGGTCTCGGGCCCTCAGGCGGAGCGGCGGGCGCCGGACCCCCAGGTGGAGCGACAGGTCTCGGGCCCTCAGGCGGAGCGGCGGGCGCCGGACCCCCAGGTGGAGCGACAGGTCTCGGGCCCTCAGGCGGAGCGGCGGGGCGCCGGACCCCCAGGTGGAGCGACAGGTCTCGGGCCCTCAGGCGGAGCGGCGGGCGCCGGACCCCCAGGCGGAGCGACAGGTCTCGGGCCCTCAGGCACAGCGGCGGGCGCCGGACCCCCAGGCGGAGCGACAGGTCTCGGGCCCTCAGGCGGAGCGGCGGGCGCCGGACCCCCAGGCGGAGCGACAGGTCTCGGGCCCTCAGGCGGAGCGGCGACGCGGGCGCCGGACCCCCAGGCGGAGCGACAGGTCTCGGGGCCCCCAGGCGGGCGGCGGGCGCCGGACCCCCAGGCGGAGCGGCGGGCGCCGGACCCCCAGGCGGAGCGACAGGTCTCGGGCCCCCAGGCGAAGCGGCGGGCACCGAGTCGCCAGGCACGACAGTGGGCTCCGAGTCAACTGGCTTGACCGCTGGCACTGGGTCAGACATTGGATCGTCTGGCTGGACAGCGGGCATCGGGTCACCAGGCATCAGGTCATTTGGCTCGACAGCGAGCACCGCGTCATCTGGCAAGGCAGTGGGCTCCGAGTCAACTGGTATGACCGCGGGCACTGGGTCAGACATTGGATCGTCTGACTGGACAGCGGGCATCGGGTCACCAGGCATCAAGTCATTTGGCTCGTCAGCGAGCACCGCGTCATCTGGCAAGGCAGTGGGCTCCGAGTCAACAGGCACGACAGTGGGCACCGGGTCATCAGGTACCGGATTGTCTGGCTCGACAGCGGGCATCGGGTCACCAGGTATGACAGCGGGCACTGGGTCACCAGGCATCAGGTCATTTGGCTCGACAGCGGGCAGCGCGTCATCTGGCAAGGCAGTGGGCTCCGAGTCAACTGGTATGACCGCGGGCACTGGGTCAGACATTGGATCGTCTGACAGGACAGCGGGCCTCGGGTCACCAGGCATCAGGTCATTTGGCTCGACAGCGGGCACCGCGTCATCTGGCAAGGCAGTGGGCTCCGAGTCAACAGGCACGACAGTGGGCACCGGGTCACCAGGCATTGGATCGTCTGGCTCGACAGCGGGCATCGGGTCACCAGGTACGACAGCGGGCTCTGAGTCAATTGGCACGATAGCGGGCACCGGATCAGGTACCGGATCATCTGGATCAACAGCGGGCATCGAGTCAACTGGCCTAATAGGATCGTCAGGCTGGATCAGTTCATCATGCTGGGTAGAGGCATCAGGCTGAATGCCAGCGTCCGGCTGAGTAGAGGCTTCAGGCTGAGTAGAGGCATCAGGTCGAGTAGAGGCTTCAGGCCGAGTAGAGGCTCCAGGCCGAGTAGAGGCTCCAGCCCGAGTAGAGGCATCAGGCCGAGTAGAGGCTTCAGGCCGAGTAGAGGCATCAGGCCGAGTAGAGGCATCAGGCCGAGTAGAGGCTTCAGGCAGAAGAGAGGCATCAGGCTGCGTACAGGCATCAGGCTGAGTACAGGCATCAGGCTGAGTAGAGGCATCAGGCTGAGTAGAGGCATCAGGCTGAGTAGAGGCTTCAGGCTGAGTAGAGGATTCAGGCTGAACCACGGAAGGCAGGTTCACCGGTTTGGATACTGGCAGGATGGTATTGGTTGGAAAGAATTTTCGCTTTTTTCTGGTTTTAACTACTGGAGCACTGCAAGTAAACGCAGGTCTGCAAATGAATGGAGCAGCTGGAGACAGAGAAGAGCTGGAGGATGGAACAGGGGAGGGAACAGTTGCTACAGAGGGCTTTTTTACAGGGTTAAAGGCAGGATAGGTGCAGCGAGTGGGAACAGGGTACTGACATGCGGTAGATAGCCAAGTATACTGGGCTGTAACTGGGGGAGTTGTTAGGAATACAGGAGTAGAGCTTTGAGGAAATAGATTAGAAGCAGGACTGGGTCTTTGTAAGCTGACTGAGGCTGGGTGCAACAAGTCTGTCCATGTCTGCAGTATGGGTTGAACAAAGCTCAGCTTACACAAAGCCTGTCTGACCAAAGACTGCACTGCGTTTATACAATCTCTTAGTATCTGTGGTGAACATGTGGAATAACGCTCCAGAAAGTAACCCACATCATCCTCTAATAACACTGTTCAACAAATTTTTATTTTTTGCCAGTTTTGGAAACAAAAGGATCCATTTCTTAATGAATTTCACATTCTGAGTTCAAATATAACAATGAAATTTGTCAATTGGCTCTAGTTTTTCTGTAAACGGAAAGTTTTCTACTATAGGCGTAATGACTACATAATGCACAATAATTATATAGATGTCTTTCCACAAATATAAAGCAAGTGATATTGACTACATAACAAAGCCTAAATGGCATAATATATTGCATAGGATTACCAAGAAAAATTATAGCCATAAGCTAAGTTGAATCATTTTAATACTTAGGATTCTCACTAGTTTTGTCTTCAGTTTGTGTCGGTTTTGCTTCTCTTGGCTTTTCTCTTCTATTCGAGGAAAGGGCTATCTCTTACAACTGCACGTGACTACACGCTTCAGGTTCTTCCTCACTTGACTCAACCACGAAGGATTCTGGTGCTTTAGGAATTGGTAGCCCCTCTCCATGAGGAACTGGACGTATTGCCGATGGAAATATTTGGATAGTGCACAGATAACTTTTTCTTCTTATTTAGCCTTTTACAATTGGAGGCACCATACAAAAGTAACAATTACTAACATGATCTGTTGGCTCTCTCCAAATCATTGGCACAGCGAAAGGCATAGATGCCTTTTTTCCATTCAACCATTGCTCCAGTGCCGTCCCACAAGAATTGCAGCATATATGTGGTGCCCAGCTCTTGTCCTGGTCTCCTATCTTGCAGCCAAAATACAAGTTGTAGGCTTTCTTAATCATTCCTGTTATCCTCCTTTTTTGTGAGATAAAAGTTATTTCACCGCAGATATAGCAGAAATTATCTGCTTTATTCACACAAGTTCGAGGCATTACGGAGTAGCCTATATAAGCATAAAACGAAATGTAAAGACGCTGTCGAACTACAATCAGCTACAGATACTGCAGCTTTTATGCAGTGAAGTGATGCAATTAAAGGCTAATATTGCATCATCTCAGTATACATGCAATTTTCTATTGGTCACCAGTATCAAGTGCGCAATATGCAGCTGAAGTTGCATCATAATTTTGAATGGCTTACGTCATTAGATGGGTGAATATATCATGGAAACTAGAGCCAATCAACATTTTTTAGGGTCATTTTCGTTTTCAGCACCCCAAAATTATGTAAGATTAGCTAATTTTATGCCCAAAACTTTTTACCTGTTGAACAGTGTAACCATACCAGGGACTCTACCTGGTCTGCACTAAATGGTGGCAAAAATTCATCCCTGCATTCGGGGAAACCAGATGAAACCAACTCAACACAAACCTTAATCAATGGCTGCACCATAGAGAAATCTGTGCCCTGATCTACTAGAACATGAGCGGGCCGTATACATTCTAGCAGTTTCATCCCGGGGATACTCCTTCAGAGTCTGATAAGCATATTTTCTGTCATCAAGCACTAGCAGAGATAAATACTCAACCTCATCCAGATCCATCCTTCCCAGCAACAAGCCAAGATGGCTTCCCTGTGCAGCCACTTCTGGTCAGGATTGGCCTTGTGTAATGTCAGGGCTCCCAGGTGTCACCAGAGGTGTGTGACTGACGCAGGGAAATGCAGACTTCAGATATGTGATAAACAATGTAATTTATTAACACTAACAATACAAACATAAACGCAGTGCAATACTAAAACATAACACAGTGCAAACAAACCAAACCACCCACAGATAACAGTACATACAAGCAAGCGTCGTCAGGCAGGCCGGGTCAATATCAATAGGGCAGGTAGGTACATGGGGAGCAAGCGGAGATGGGTCGGGGTCACAGGCCAGGTTCAGCAGGTAGCTAGCAGCGTAGTACAGAGGGTCAGGCAGAGGGATGGTCAGGGTCACAAGCCAGGGATCAGAACAGGTAGCAAGTAGCGTGGTACAGAGGGTCAGGCAGAGGGATGGTCAGGAGCGAGCCGGGATCAGAGCAGGAGAAGTCAGCAGCGGTTCAGATCAGGCAGGGTCAGCAAAGGAACAGAAACAGGATGCAGGACAGATACAGGGCCCAGGACAAACACAACACCAAGGCAGAGTCTGTGGGTCTGGCCATCCCTTAAATACACCAGTATCATCAGTTCCAGGTGTTAGCTGGCTGAAAGGTTGAGTCTCTGATTGCTGGGAGCACCCGCTGGCCAGCCTGGTACTGCAGATCAAAGGCAGGTGAGTCCCACCATTGCTGGCCAGTCCATTCCTGACACCTCTGTTCCCAAATCTCATTTCTTTACCCCTCTGCTCCACCCCAAAACTTGTACATCTCCCCCTCATTGCTATCATCTCCCTACTATTGGTCTCATCACCTCCCCAAAATGCCTCTTCCACTCCTCCTCATTTTCCTCTCCTCCGTTCCCAAAATCCATTCACTATATCCCTCTGCCCCTCCCAAACAATTGTATATTGTATCCTCACTGCTTCCTTCGCCCCTCTATGGCACCCACCACCTCCTCCTATTACTCCACTCTCCCACTGACCCGAATACCTCCACTAGTGGTTTCTCACGCTCCTGCACATCCCGCTCCCATGCCACCTTTCTCACCCTTCTCCTCCTCATAACCGCGGGGGACATCTCCCCAAATCCAGGCCCTCCACCACCTCCCTCACCCACACAACACCCTCCCGCCTCCTCATCCCGCTGCAACCCCCGCAACTTAGTATCTGTTCCCCCTGCTCCCTAAAATCTCCCCCCCGTTTTCATGTGCACTCCTGAACGCCCAATCAGTGTGCAACAAGCTTACCGCCATCCACGACCTTTTTGTTTCCCGTTCCCTCAACCTCCTGGCGATTACGGAAACCTGGATCCAGCCCACTGACTCTACCCCCTGCTGCACTCTCCTACGGAGGTCTCACCTGGACCCACTCACCCAGGCCCAACGGTCGTAAAGGTGGTGGGGTTGGTCTGCTCCTGTCACCGCAGAGCACCTTCCGAGTCCTCCAAAACCCCCCCTCCCTATCCTTCTCCTCCTTCGAGGCCCACTGCGTCCGACTATTCTCCCCAACCCCCCTGAAGATTGCTGTGATATATCGGCCTCCTGGATCCATACCCCGCTTCCTGGATAACTTCTCCTCCTGGCTACCCTTCTTCCTCTCCTCTGAGCTACCCACCATCATCCTTGGGGATTTCAACATCCCTGTCAACCTTGACAACCCGGACATAGCCCGTCTCCTCCACTTAACCTCCTCCTTTGCACTTGCACAGTGCATACAATCCATCACGCACTCCGACGGTAATATCCTTGATCTCGTCTTCTCCAACCGCTGCACTCCCCACAACCTCACTAACACCCCCTTCCCTCTCTCTGACCACAACCTGATCACCTTCTCTATCTCCTTGTCCTCCAACACCTACCCCTCCAAATGTCACACTACTACCAGCCGTAACCTCCGCAACCTTAACCCTGCCTCCCTCCACTCTGCAGCTGATCAACTCCACGACCGCATCCTCCCCCTGTCCTGCCCTGACTTGGCTATGACCGCCTACAACAACGCGCTCTCAACAGCCCTTGACTCACTAGCGCCTTTAACCACACGCAACATCAGACCCCGACCGCTCCAGCCCTGGCAGACTGATCACACCAAAACCCTCAAATGACACAGTCGTGCCCTGGAGCGACTATGGCGCAAAACCAAACCCCCAACAAGCCTTCACCCGCTACAAATCTGCCTTCCACACCTACACCTCATCCCTCCATGCTGCCAAACAAGCCTACTTCCTGACCCTCATCAAGGCCCTCTCCTCCAATCCTCGCCGACTCTTCTCCGCCTTCAACTCTCTACTCTCTCCACCCCCACCTCCACCCAGCACCTCACTCACTGCCCTTGAGATTGCCAATCACTTCAAAAACAAGATTGACACAATTCGCAAGGACATTGCCGCAACTCACACGCCCTCTCAACCCGTCCCCTCTCACACAGCTACCCCCTCATCCCTCTTCGACATAACCCGCAGGTACTTCGTCGCTGCTCAAACTCCCTCCAATCCCGTTCCCTCTCACTCAGCTACTCCCTCATCACCCCTCTCCCACGGCCCCACCACTGCTCTGACCTCCTCTTCCACCCCACCCTACATTCCTCATACTGAAGCCGCCCCAACACTCCGCACCTTTGACCTTACTACCATCGAGGAAGTCTCCAAGATCCTCTCTGATGCCCGCCTCACCACCTGCCCCCTCGACCCTATCCCCTCACAACTCCTACGATCTCCCTCCCCCTCCATCCTACGCTCTCTCACCCACATCTTCAATCTCTCCCTCTCCTCCGGCACTTTCCCCTCCCCTCTGAAACATGCACACATCACCCCCATACTTAAAAAGCCCTCCCTGGACCCCAATGACCCAAACAACCTCAGACCCATCTCCCTGCTCCCATTTACATCTAAACTCCTCGAGCGCCTAGTCTACACCCGCCTATGCTCTCACCTCAACGACAACAACCTCCTCAATCCCGTACAGTCTGGCTTCCGTCCCCTACACTCCACCAAAACTGCCTTACTCAAACTCTACAACGACCTGCTAACTGCCAAAGCTAATGGCCACTATTCAGTGCTCCTACTCCTTGACCTCTCTGTGGCCTTCGACACAGTTGACCACCCCTCCTCCTCAAAAAAACTACACTCCCTCGGCCTCAGAGATTCTGCTCTCTCCTGGCTCTCATCCTACCTGTCACAACGCTCCTTCAGCGTTACCTATAATGCTACCACCTCCCCCTCACTCCCCCTCTCTGTTGGGGTCCCTCAAGGCTCTGTCCTCGGGCCCGTTCTCTTCTCCATCTATACCTCCTCCCTTGGCCAACTCATACACTCTCACGGCTTCAACTACCACCCCTATGCCAACGACACACAAATCTCTCAACCCCCCACCTCACCCCCTTGGTCTCAGCCTGAATCACACACCTACTGAGCGACATATCAGACTGGATGTCGCTCCACTTCCTTAAACTGAACCTCTCCAAAACCGAGTTTCTTGTCTTCCCCCCAGCCCGGACACCACCCCCCATTGACTTCTCCGTCACATCCAACAACGCTACCATCAAACCCGCCCTGCAGGCCAGAGTACTTGGTGTCATTCTGGACTCCAACCTATCCTTTCAGCCCCAAGTCCAATCTTTAACAAACTCGTGCAGACTCCACCTCCGCAACATCGCCAAAATACGCACGTTCCTAACCCCAGAAACCACTAAACAGCTCATCCACTCCCTCATCATATCATGACTCAACTACTGCAACTCCCTCCTCACTGGCCGCCTCGCCTCCGCTGGCTGTCCCCGCTTCAGTCGATCCTGAATACAGCTGCCAGACTCATTCACCTTTCCAACTGCTCTGTCTCCGCCACCCCCCTCTGCCAATCCCTCCACTGGCTTCCGATTGCGCAACGGATCAAATTCAAAATCCTAACGCTGACGTACAAAGCTGTCCACCATACTGCCCCGAACTACATCACTGACCTAATATCCAAGTACCCGCCGCCCAGCACGCACACTCCGCTCCTCACAAGACCTCCTTCTCTCTAGTTCCCTGGTCTCCTCCTCCCATGCCCGCCTCCAGGACTTCTCCAGGGTGTCACCCATCCTCTGGAACTCTTGCCCCAACCCATCAGATTAGCACCTACCCTCCTCTCCTTTAGGCGCACCCTGAAAACCCATCTCTTCAGGGAAGCCTACCCCACCCCCTGCTAACTTGACCGACCTCCTCCACTCTTCCTACCACTCCATCCCCCACAGCTATCTCCTTCTGTACCACTATCCCCTCCCTCCTAGATTGTAAGCTCGAAAGAGCAGGGCCCTCAATCCCCTCATGTTTTGCATTGTATTGGTATTGTTCTGTCACATGTTCTGTCCCCCTCTGTAATGTACAGCGCTGAGCGAACTATTGGCGCTTTATAAATACTGTATAATAATAATAATAATTCAATTTTTAGACTGATCATTTCTTTGTGAGTGGGAAAACATTCAAAATCAACAGGGGATCAAATACTTATTTCCTGTAAGGGTTTACAACCACTTTAATTTATAGCATTTTTCATACAGGCATGAGAACATATTCCACTAACTCTTTTCTTAATTGTTCATTATCATGGGTGATATATATATAATTGTATGCCCATGCAAAAAGATCTATATTGGTAAGACAAAAAGAGAATTTAGACATAGAATTGGTGAACAACTAGCTGGTATTACAAGTAAAGATGATAAGTCTCCATTAGCCATCCATTTTGAACAATACCATAACTAATCCCTAAAAGGAATAAAATGTGCAGCCATCTTACAGTTGTAGCTGTCAGAGAGGAGAGGTGATAAGGACAAGATCTTGTTAAAAAAGGAAGCAAGATATATCTTTTTACTAAATACTATGAGTCCCCTTGACCTTAACAATGATTTGTCCTTACAGCCTTTTTTATAAAAAATTATAAACAAAGAGATTTTTTTCCTATCAATGTTAATGTGACCTTGGTGGATGTGTAGAGTCGGAAATATGGAGAAGAAAAAAACAAGTACTTTTAGGGTTCCCATGCAGGGAACTAGGTTTTCTGTTTGCATTTGTTATATATTTTAGACTGAAGGATTATCTCCTTTTAGGATTCCACATGTAGACCAACCAGGAGGGGCACCCATGTGGCACACAATGTTTAGATTCATCCCAGGTGGCTGCTTTAAGAGGTGGCACATAGCGTGATGATGTAGATATATAGGCATGTCAGCCATCTAATTCTTAGCTACACCCTGAAGAAGTCCCGTCAGTGGGAGGGGCGAAACATGTAGGCGGAAGGGATCACCTCCTCCTTTCACGTGTAATCCCCTGCTGAGAAACTGGAGTGCACGATGGCTCTCCTGACCCGCTGTGTGAACACTGCATACTGCGCTGCAAGCTGTGCTGCCTCATCCCTGGATATTGCTACCTGGGACTACATGATTATTTGTTTCACTCTAACAGCACGGATGTCCTGAGACCCATATGGTGAGACTGTTCCATTTACCTGTTGCATTGAGTGATGGACTTGTTCCACGGCCTATGGACTACAGAGTCAATCAGCTACCAAGGTGTAGGCTGGACCTGTCTAG